TGACCCCACCTAGTGGATGAGGGAAAGGCTGTAGATGTTGTCTACTTGGATTTCAGTAAGGCCTTTGACATCTTCTCCCATAGTATTCTCTTCGAGAAGCTGGTAGCTCATGGCTTAGACAGGTGTGCTCTTTGCTGGGTAAAAAACTGGCTGGATTTCCAAGCCCAGAGAGTTGTGGCGAATGGCGTTAAATCCAGCTGGTGGTCGGTCACAAGTGGTGTTCCCCAGGGCTCAGTTCTGGGGACAGTCTTGCTTAATATCTTTATCAATGATCTGGATGAGGGGATTGAAGGCTCCCTAAGTAAGTTTGCAGATAACACAAAGCTGGGTGGGAGTGTTGATCCACTCGAGGGTAGTAATGCTCTGCAGAGGGATCTGGACAGGTTGGATTGATGGGTCAAGGCCAACTATATGAAGTTCAATAAGGTCAAGTACCAGGTCCTGGACTTTGATACAACAACCCCATGCAACACCACAGGCTTGAGGGAGAGTGGTTGGAAAGCTGTCTGGCAGAAAAAGACCTGGGGATGCTGGTTGACAGCTGGCTGAGCATGAGCCAGTAGAGTGCTCCAGTGGCCAAGAAGGCCAACAGCATCCTGGCCTGTATCAGTAATAGTGTGGCCAGCAGGACCAGGGAAGTGATTGTGCCCCTGTACTTGGCACTGGTGTGGCCGCACCTCAAATACTATGTTCAGTTTTGGGCCCCTCACTACAAAAAAGACATTGAGGTGCTGGAGCGTGTCCAGAGAAGAGCAGCAAGGCTGGTGAAGGGTCTGGAGAATAAGTTTTACGAGGAGCGGCTGAGGGAACTGGGGTTGTTTAATCTGAAGAAAAGGAGGCTCAGGGGAGAGCTTATCGCTCTCTACAACTACCTGAAAGGAGGTTGTAGTGAGGTCAGTCTTGGTCTCTTCTCCCAAGTAGCTAGCAATAGAACGAGAGGAAATGGCCTCAAGTTGTGCCAGGGAAAGTTTAGATTAGATATTAGGAAAAATTTCTTTGCTGAAAGAGTAGTCAAACATTGGAACAGGTTGCCCAGGGAAGTGGTGGAGTCACCATGCCTGAAAGTGTTCAAAAAACATGTAGATGTAGCACTTCAGGACATGGTTTAGTGGGCGTGGTGGTATTGCATTGACGGTTGCACTTGATGATCTTATTGGTCCTTTCCAACCTTAATGATTCTATGATTCTAAAATTCCTCTTGTATCCCTCATTATCTTAGGAATTAGTGTCTGATTATCATTCCTTGTTTTAAGCATCTCTAGATTCCCCTGCTTGACCCCAGCTTATGCTGAAATAATTATGGAGCCCTCTAATGCCTGGACACTGCCTAATAATTCAGCTGCTTTAGATTTGCATATTCATTATTTTTCAGGCACCCAGAAAGAAAGGAGGAGCCAATTACTTCATTGAGTCTTCCCTTGACAGATGGGATGACTCCTCTTTTACTGTCTACATAAAAATACTACTCTTGACTATTTCTATTATAATTCTGTTTTGTTATAAGTCATTTCATGATTTGTGAAATAAGTAATTTTACAAGCAGAGAAACCAACAGCTCAGGACACAAAGCAAACCCATATCAGGTCAGGAGGTTCAGATTCTAGCCCCATCTCAGCTCTCCCCTCCAAGAAATGGTCATTGCTGAATTCTTTTAAGAAATATCTTAATTTACAACTTCAGGACTTTTGTGTTTAAGTTTGGCTTTTTTCTGGTTTTAATCTTGATTTTTCATAGTTAAATTGATTTTTTTCAAGTTGTGCCATAGTTTTTGATCGTTTCTGATGTTTTTTTCTTGATAAAGTTTCGTTTATTTATATATTTGAAAGCAAAAAAGAAAGCTTCTACTTTTCTAACTGATGCTCTTTCCCATCATCCCCTCCATCTTTATTAATTTCTTTTGTACTTTGTAGATAAATGAGCTGGCACTCACAGAAGTCAGTTCTTCTGACAACTTCAGTGAGCTCTGGGGGAAGTTCTAAAGGCTCATACCTTCCAGACAGAGCTAATATTCTTGCTGGATCCGCTCCCAAAGCAGGCATGTTTTAACAAGTACACCTGTGATTAAGCTGAATTGTGAAATCAGAAGTACACAGAACTGGAAGTCCACTGACAGGTTTCTAAATTTATTCAGCAAGGTAGACAAACACAGGCAAGTGCAAAATCCTGCTAGAATATCTTGAGGCCCAGCCCTATTTAAAAGGAAGGAATCCAGCCCTGCAAATATCAGTAATCAGTTGTCTCTGTCTGCAGCCACAGGGCAGCGTGATGTGCAGCTGCAGGGGGACTGCAGCAGCACACGTGGCCCCCTGATGTGATGTACTGGGTGTCCGTGTCCAGGTGTTGGCAGCAGAGGTGGTCTCTGTGAGAAGAGGTCAGAGCAGCTGGGTAGGTGTCTGCCAGCCAGCCAAGGTCAACTCACTATATGTGGAAAAAGAGCAGTTGATCCTTTTCTAAGAGGGACCGGCCATTGGCCCCAGAGCTCAGTCCATGCGGCCCCCAGGACAGCTAGTGCTGGTGGCAGTTCCCTTCCTTTTCTGCTGTTTTTCCCAGCACAGACCTCGCTTGGATAACCCTGCCACACCAAGGGCTACAGCATGTGGCTTGAGCTTTCTATCACAGGAAAGTCCCAACTCACTGTAGAAACAGAGTATATGCCCCTACAGGTCCTATTTGCCTGTGTTCATGGTATCGTTGTGAGAGAATATAGAAGGAAAAAGCTTTTCTCCCAAAAGAACCACCTTCCCCTTTGTCCTGGTCTGTGCAGTATCAAGCACAACAGACAGTTCAGGCTGGCCCTTTTCCGAGGATTCGGTTTTACTGCATCAGTGAAAAGTCAATCCAACAAACATCTCTTCTGACATTTGTTTCAGCTTGATCTCTTCTGAAAGAGGCTTGTCTCTTTGCCATGGTACGGCCATTATGAGACTGTTTCCTCCTCCCCTTCTCCAGAGTCCAGCCCAGGCAAGCAAGAGAGAGTGCAGATATCCCCAGTGCCACACTACAGTCAGGACACTGTGAGCACTAGGAGAGTCCACAGACTCAAGGGGAGACTGGACAAAATCATGGATTATAACTATATCCAGAGGTGTCAAATACAAAGACACCACCCTTGAGGCTGAGGAAGTCTGTGGGCTTAAATAATGGAGACTGGTGGAACATCTACAGGGAGCACTACCACGTGCTTGTCATACTCATACCACTGCTGGAGATAGGATCCTGAGCTCGATGGCCTTGAAAGCTGTTCAGCTTCTATATATCATCACCGTTGAACAAAATCTGTTCCAAATTTTATTGAATCTAGATAAAAGTCATAAAAAACCTGTCTTCTACAAACCAAATCCTTTGTAACAGCCTTCCTCTCTTCTAGTTATCTGTTACATGACTGTTGTATCAATTTTCAATGTCACATTCATGTAACTTACTTTGAAGGGGGAATTAATAAAACAAGTCCGGGTATCTCTCCTGGCAACACATTTTTGAAAAGAAAATGTCCCTTTCTAACACAGCGTTTTTGTGTAGATCAAATGCCAGCATCCTTTGAGGTTTTGAAAAACATTTGGGAAAAATATTACAGCAGAGAAGTCACCTTTACCAGTTACACACCAGTTTTCTTTTTTGTTTTCCAGGTCAGGATTGAATGATTCAGCAAAAGGAATAGCTTCAGATAGCATTTAATTTACCTCTTTGACTGCACAATAAAAATGTGACATCCAGGAATGATGGGTAGAAACTATTGTTGGTCTAGTTAAATTGTTGATTCTAACTGTCTTTCCTCTATATCATCCCCCTATGACATAGATCAACATCAGAAAAGTTAGAATTTCTCTCATGTGACAAATGTAATTTTGTCAAAATGATATCTTTTTGTTCTTTAACTACTAATAGAAATGCACAATCATAACAAAACATTACAGAAGAGAGAGAGAGAAAAAAATGTTATTTTTATCATTTTTTACCTATTTACCATTGCTTTTTTACTATTTCCTAGCTTTTAATAACATTTAGTAATCCACTCCACAGTCAGATTGCCCAGTGAGAAGATGTAGTCTTTTATTAATTGCAAAAGAATCCATGACAGTCTGAATGTTTTCAGGCTCCTGAAATAATTGAGATGACCATAAACATGTTCAGGCTTAATCATTATATAAGCACAGTGCTTCTAATTACTTATATATTTATATTTTTTTCCTTCTTCATACAAATTTCATAAGTAGTCCAAAGACAACTAGAAAAGGAGGGATGCTAGGAAAATTACCTTATCTCTGTTGAGATGCTATTTGCACTGGCACATTGAATCATGCTAGGTTATGATCTTGAGAAGTTAGTTGCATTGATTGCCATGACATCAAATACAAATTTGTGATCAGTTTGGACAAGGACCTATCTTGCTTAGAAACTCCATCAGCTGTTCATGGCTGAAACAAACACGTGATTTAGCATTACTCAGCATAATTCTCACAGGCATAAACTGATATCAGAGGGAAGATAAGCCTTCATCCACCCATGCTCATTTGTGATACCATATCTGAACAAAGTGATGTATTTTGAAAATATTTTTCAAGATCATTTGTTTAGTGACTTATATCTTCTTAACTCTGTACATTTCTGGATGGTTTGCTCAACAGAAAAAGATTACAAGACACAGCTCAGCCTTCTTCTTGTGATTCGTCAACATGCCATGCTGACTAAAAAGCCTTTAAAGAGACTAGTAGTTTCAATACATAGTTTCTTGTTGAAAAAGTAATTTATAAATCGTTCTCATTTTTCTCTGTTGTGATATCCTTTCCTTGCCAATAATAGTTAATCTGAAGGCATTTTGTACTGATCTTCCTAATAGCCAGATAGATTAGCAACCTCTACAGCCTCACCTCAAACCTTTGGCAGAGATAGCTATTAACAAATGAGGATAATAACAAGTAGAAATATTATTGCTGGCAAGCATAAGGATCCTTTTTAATTATCCCTTTCTGCTAGAATGTCTTTTTAGGTTACACATATTATGAAACAGAAATGTTATAAAAATCATAAATAACAGACTAGGAAAAGCCACAGCAGCTTTAAATCAATCTATGGCTGTTCTGTCTGAGGAACTGACAGAGCTGGACCTTTGGGATCATCAAATCTGCTGTTTGTTGTGAGCTGCATGATCATATGGATTCCATAGGCCAAGATCCACAGTAAAACTATAGATGTCACCAAGCCCATCCAGACTCCAGGACTGAAGAAGCCTGTACAGTCACTCGCATAGGAAAACTCGTTGTCTTCAATATTGAAGCCTTGAATCTGAGAAAGAAGAAAGGCAGATAGATGAGTGCAACCAAATGCGGCGTAGAGGTCCTACTTTCAGGATGTAAGTAGTAATTACAAAAAAAACCATACCCATTAATTACCACTCACGCTCTGCCCATTAAAAAAGAATGAGAACCAAATCCTTTGCATAATGATTTTCCAGGTCTCCTTTCCACTCAGGAAATTAAAGATGCAGAATTCCTTTGTTTGGCAAGAGGTAGGTTGTGTTTCCCACTTCAGAAGTTTGTGTTGCTTTTAGAAGTAAAGTCCCAAAGGGGACATGTGATCAGTATTGCTCAATGACCACTCCAGAAACAGGAAACCCAAAGCACCCAAAAGGATGAGAGTTAAGGCCTCACAGATCAGAAGATATGTTGAAATACCCTGAGGTGTTTAGCTAAGAACTCCTTAACAAGCAGAACTCCTGAAACCTGCTTTAAAATGCATCTAATCAAGATGACCTTTTTGGCTGAGTTCTAGTGAAAGTTCAAGGAGAAAACAGTTGTGAAACCTTTCTTCCCCTCTCCTTAAGCATCAGAGACTCAAAACAGGTGAGAGGGCTTGCTTTACTGAGGTGTGGGATCTGTGTTGTCTATTAACAAATGAAATCCACATTAGCTTTTCTAGCAGTTAAAAAAAAATCTATAATATCTCTTCCTTGACTGATTTCTTGAGGTCTACCTCTGACTGAGCTCCTGTCATATCATTTTCCTCAGAAAAATAAACTAATTTGGGGATCTATTCTCTGCCCAGCCACCAATTTTGCAAAAAGTATCAAAAACTAAATACCTTTGAGACCACTATCCTTCCAAAAATTTTGTTAAAACCAGTCAAAGGATTAGAAAACAATGAAGAAAGGGAGTACAATCCTCCCTCTACACACATGCGCATAATGACATAAGCACTGCTTACTTCAGAAGGAAGGGAATCTAACTGGTGGAAGAAAATGAAGGAAGGAAAGATTTAATCTGATCTGTGTTTTTGAGTCTTTCTTAAATAGCTTTATAAACAAAAGTGAAGACTGAGATTCTTATGTATTTACAGATTCTTTGAAATGGGTGTGTAAGGAAAGCACTAAACATCATAAATCCACTAGTAAAGAATTAAGACCTTAAAATTAACTATTTTCTATAAAATATTATATAATAAATTAAAAAAAAATATTTTATTTCAATCACTTTCCTTACCAGGCAATCAGCAAGGAAGCAGATGTTCCCTTCTATGTTCTCACTCTATGGTTTACGATAATCTAAATGGAAAACTTTGTGGTAATAAGAGTTTGTACTTCCCAGGAAAGGCGTTGGTACAAACATTGAAGGAATTCGTCTGTGGTTTGCATACCATGCTACACCAGTAAGCCCTCTGGGTTTGAGTTCATCCATGGCTCAGGCACCTAAAGTTAATGTGTATGTAATATGTGTGCTAAGACTAATGTCTGTACCTTCCAGAATGCTGATTAATAAAACTATTATCTTATGCAGAAGTAAGGGCTATTTAGGTACTGTGGAGGTGAAGACAGTTTTAACAATCCAAGATTTTCTGGGCCTCTTAGAAGAATCTTTCTAAGTCAGGTCATGGTAACTAACTTGCAATTACAGCCTGCTTTCACTATAGGCAGTCAGACTTTTGATTAAAGTAGGATTAGCAAAAATAAGCGTTTGTTTATTTTGCTATTTGCACAGTTTTAGAGAATACAGGTGATTACTAAAGCCTTCGCTTGTTAAGCCACTGCTTTGACAACAGATGAGTCTGTGAATCGGACTCAAGAAATGTAGTCTGAAATACTTATTTCCAATAAAAACAGAAAGCAGGTGATGATTTATGTTACTTGTTTAAAAAATGGATTGAAATTCTGGAATTGTTACCACATTTACAAGAACTCTCTGAAACACTTAACAGGTATATTTGGTTTAGAAAGGCCTTACCACTTCTGATGTAGAGCCAGAAATACTGAATTTTATTATGTCAATCCTACTGTGTTTTTTTTTTAAGCAGGATTATGCTTATTGAACCTTCGAGGTGAAAGCTTTAATTGTACATTCTTAAAATGCTATGTCTACTTTTAGGCAGGAGACAAAGTATATGCAGTGTTCTTTTATTATTTTTCTGAAGCTTTATCATTTCTGTGGGGGTGTTAGATTCCAGGTGGGAGATAAAAATGTGACTCCGAGCAGCACTTCTACCTATAGAAAAGTTAAAAATACTTACATGTGGTTCTCTAATTTTTATGAATGTAAAAGCCTTTTGGATATAGGCCTCTGTATTGTGGATATTTTAATTTTAGCATTTGGATCAGTGTCATTTGTCTTGGTTATACTAGTCTGCATTTACTGCTAATTCTTAAAATATTTTTGAATGCAATTTTCTCATTATTTGACCTTTGACAAAGCCTTCAAGTAAAATCTGTTGTTTTCATGGCTCCTAAGTATACACTGAACATCTGATTTTTGAACTCAGAAATATTTTAGTCACAAAGAATCCAAATATTCTTGATTTAAAGTTTTTGGTAGTTTTTTTTTATGAACAAAAGGACTTCCAAACCACTATGACACATGCTAAAGAAAAGCAATGCTTTTGGTGACAGCCTTCTCTTTAACTTCATAGACAGTTCTGAGATCCTCAAAAGGATAAAAGTTATTGTGGTAGAACAACGATTTCGGTGGTAACAACAAATCCAACAAAAAAATCCCACCAAAACCAGAGCAGTTTTGGTACTGTCTATGGCTATGAGTGGTGACATCCTAGGCTATGGACACATCTCGAGAGCATCCCACAGAAGTTCTTTAGGTGGCAATGACTGAGCTAGCTCCAGAACTCAAGTAAAAGGCTGAAATAGTTCAGCCTTGCCTTGGAACAAGCTATGCAAGGCTTCACAGTACAGGTGCCGTGTGCCTCTAACACAGTGATACTGTTTTCAGGACTCAACATTGCAAAGTGCAATTGTACCAGCTAGATTGCTAGATTGGCATTGAACCCTGGTTTCTAACTCATTGCATAACATTGACATGAAAATCATGTTCCTCAGTTCCAGCAACAAGATTTTCTGCTGACTGCAACCACTGAGCACATCCTGTGTGCCTTTTCACCGCACAACAGAGCTTGGGGGTTTCTAAACCTCGTTCTAGAACAAAGTCTGACTGATACTGAGATCAATCAAATTTCACTATGTATCAGTGGAAGATACCTGGAAAGGTATGATCTAGTTCAGATAGAACTTAGAAATGAGCCCAGAATGGTGACTTTCTGTTTTCTCATACACCAGAAAAGATCAGAACAGGACTTTTTAGGTTGTGTTCCACGCTTGGGACTTGATCAGGGAAAAAGGCCTCTCCCAAGAGGAACTGAAAGTTCTATTTTCTGAACAGTGGAAGCAGCTGCTGCTCCAAATCAATAAAGAAGTTGGGAAACCTGCTACTCCTACTCTTCATCAAGACCTCAAGGAAAGGATGCCTACTCAGAATGAAGCAAGGCCTCTCTCTAAGCTTCGAGAGGCAGCAGTATCAATGTATATAGACATTAGAGGAAAAGATACGTTGCAAGTTGTTGCTTTTTATTTTCATAACCCATGTACTTTTGTAGCCTAGGGATGCCAAAGTCTAATTTCAAAGAGTGACTAGGCAAAGTACAGTTGTGTGGACTCAGATATTTTTGGGCCTTTCCATAAAAAATACCATCAGGAGGAACCTTCACAGCACTGGTGTGTTTTGCTATGTTGCTTCTCAAAAAACTGAGGGACTTGATCTTGGAATTTGTGGAAAATAAATCTCAGCACCATTGCTTTTCCTTTGAGATTTCCATTGTTTAAGCAGAAATGTCAAATCTGGACTCAGATTATTGAGATTTGGTTTGTTGTCAAAATTATAAATACAATTATATCAGCGTTTGTATCCAGTTATCATGCAGTTAGCTCATCTTTGACAGAGTCCAGTTTGGAATGATTCCTATAATTTCCATGATCTTTTTAATCAAAGAGATCCCTTAGTGTAATATTGTCTTAAGATAGACATGTTGATGTGCTTCTCCTAAGTCAAGATCAATGCTCAAAATAATAAAGATGCGATCATCTGCACCTCACACGTAGTCTGTACTACTACATAAAATAGGCGGAAAATCTATGCCTCATTCAAAAAAAAAAAAAGTCAACTGCTTTCCTTCTGGGCCATGCGGGACCTAGTATTGCTCCCAATTTAAGTCCATGGCAAACCTTCCATTAAATCTAATTGCTCTGGGCTTTGTTTCTGTCTGTAGGAGTAGAGGCAGTCTATGGCACTGAAAACAGTAACCACACTAAGCCGTGCTTTCCTAGGCAAACAAAGTGCAAAAAAAATCAAATAAAAACAAAGTAAGTAGCATAAAGCCACCCACCTATGAGGCCCGTGTTTCCAACAGCAGGCCAATTCGTTAAACAGGCATGGGGACTTGGTCATTCTTTGCCTGATTAAGCGCGTTTGGTTTTATTGTTTTTTCTTTTCTGTGGACAACTTCATAGCTTTTTGTTTTTCAAAGCTGTGCTTTCATGCTTTTATTATTCTGCAACCGCCGTCTTTTTTACCCCTTTATTGAATAGCTCACCTAGGGGGAACAGCTTTTCTTTTACATTTTCCCTCAGGCTGAAATGAAAGTAAGGGCATTATGAATGTGTGTCATTCAGCACCTACAATAGCAAGTAACATTTCTTGGAATTATCCCTGAAATGGCAATGTGTACTCACTTGAAACCTGGAAATGAAAACATCCCAGTTATTTGCCTCCTCGTTGGATGGAATCAGCTTTGCAGGATAGAGATTGCTTGTTCCCACCAGCTGACAATGAAATGAATACTCTGCAGGAGCAGACATGACAGAAACATTAAACGTAGCCAACTTTTCTCCATCTTGTACAATCTCGACTGAATCTAAAGTGGACCAGTTTCTAGCCGAGACTTCATAGAACTTGTTGGTCATTAAAAACCTAGAAAGACAACAGAGGGGAAAAAAAAAAGTCAAAATGACAGAAGGAGAAAGTTAATATTCATCTGACAAAGTACTGGTGACAGTAAAGGCTCACTATCACTAGCTGCAAACATCACAGTTGGCATCTTGGCTTGGCCTCCCATGTCATTAGGATCGTTCGTAAGTGAAGAGACTTTGTGAATATGTTTTTACTACTTCTTAGCATTTCATCTCACAAGCACAGCTTTCCATAGCCGTGGCAGGCAAGGAGTAAATGTGATTTGACTCTTCCAGGGCCTCTGCCAGTGCACTATTTCATGAGTTACCTACAGTTTATAATCACTGGAGCAGAACCTGAGAGACTGTCGGAGGCTCTCAATCAACCTTTCATGGGATTTTTTTAAAAATTGCTTTTATGATAGCTACACACATGATAACCATTCCGATTTATCGTTGCAGTTCTTTCGTGGCTCAGATGCCTAAATGGCAATTTCCTTTGGAAATGTCTGGCTTTGCAGTAGAAGACAGAGTTTCCTTTCATTGGAAGGTGGGGAGGGGTCGTGAGCACTGTTTTCCCAATTTGTAGTGGGTTAGGCACAAATAAATATTTTCTCATTTTGAAAATGTCTGTATATTATAATCATGGGATTCATATATACATTACTACCACTGCAGTCTGAACACCTCCAAATGTGCTGAAACAGAAACAACTGAGAACATCCAGAAGTACATCCTGATCCTTTACACATCAGGACTATGTCCTAGTCTTTACCGCTTTTACCCAGTTGCTTTCAGGTATTCAAATTATCTCATAAGGAAATGATAAACTTTTCTCCTTACTGTATGTTGTTTAATATTTTATCATACTTGGTCTAGGTATGTATTGCACTATTGTTTGCTGAGGATTTTTTTTTTGCATCTTGACAACCTCAAAGAATTCAGAAGAGGAATGTTTTTAGCAATTAGTGAGACTTGCTACACAATGAAATATTCTAATATGTCTGTTCACAGTCGGTAACACTGTATGTGGATTTAAAAATTTGGGGTAACATTTAGATGCAATTATGACAGGTTTGAAAAATAAGTCATCTATAAATGTGGCACAATATAGAATATTTTATGTTCTATAGAGTATATGTGTGTATATAGAGAGAATATTCTCTGTTGTAGTGTATCGCTTGTTTGTTCAAATCAGTTGCTTTCAGTAGCATGTCATCCACACAACACAGAGCTTAAACTCAGCACAAACAATGCTCCTTAGGAGCAACACACAAATTTTGGCAAGTTAGATTACTACAGTAATTGGGCCTTTTCTCTTTTTTAAAAATAATTTGTGTTTTTTGATTCATATAACTTCATAATCCTCAAGAGTTTCAAAATGCTCAGAAAAAATCCTAGAACTCAAAGTGTCATTCAGGTGAGAAAAGGATGTTTTGTCTTATAGTGTTCCTTACGTTTTGAGCCTAAACAGTTCTTTCCATACAACGTTCAGCAGCAAGCATCAGTGAAAAAGAAAAAACATTTGAGTTTCATTTAGTACACATTCACAAATATTTATGGAAAATATTCTATTGTTATAGTGATAAAGTTACAAAATGAAAACATGTATTAGCCTAGATATTAACTGCTGGAGGAAAGGAATCTTTTCCTGATTTACAGCACAATCTGAACAGAATTTCCATGATATCTCAGTAGCAATGCTATAGGCACTAGCTTAAGGCCAGTTATAAGGACAGAAAAATTTACTTAAATGTTTGTGCCAAATACAAATGCTGAGTGTGCGCTGTACTTTTGCTGACAAGATAAGAAAAGTGGTAAACAAAGAAATTCTTTAGAGACTTACCATATGAACAAATAAGTTTTACATGGCTATGTATGTGAGTACAGTCTAAAGTGACTTCCAAGAGAAAGTTGTCTCTTCACATTGCACCAAAGATTAAAATTATATGTTACTTACAGATTTATGAGAATTAAGATTCTAATTAGTGAAGGTGTTGAGCATGATTAACTTAACAATACAGACTTTTATCCTTAGCATTTTTCCAAACACCTGATAGTGAACAACCTTCAACAAGCATGCACTTAACTGATAACTAATACAACTATAATTCATTAAATTACAAAAGAGACATTTGAACAACAAAAATCAATAGAATTACTTCATTTAGTTTAATATTTTCTAAAATGAGTAGATAGCAAACAGAATGAGCACAATATGGCAAATGAATGACAAGAGGAGGAGAGATAAAGGTTTTATCTACAGAACTGAAAGCACCTTGGCTTTTGCAGGAAATGCTCTATTCGTATTAAACGTTAAAGCCAATACAGGAAGCAAAATTTCACACAGACATTACGTACTTTATGTATCGTGGCCCAAACAATTCTGGTCATAGGCCAGACACCCTTTGTGCCAGATAGCCATGTGAACTCTAAATGCCACCACCTGTTACCGATCACTGTCTCATGTGGCTATTCTTTACAAGGAGAGATATTTCTGAAGAGAAAGCTAGCTGGAATTACTACTGTTTCAAATATTCATAGAGAAACACAACTATTAGGTAAAAGACTTTAAAACACAGTTCGTGTGCTAATTCTGTTCTATACATGCCATAAAAAACAACAGTCAAGCACTTATCTATGTTAGTGGGGAAAATACTAACGCTCTGCCCTTCTATCCGCTTTGCCACCTTTTCCCAGAGAAGACGACAGACAGGTGCTTGAACAGCTGGATGTCATCAGCTGCTGAGAGAGCTAAGATGATGCTTCTTCCAGCAAAAGCTACTGCCCACTGCTCCTGACCCTGCTGAAGCACCGGTTCACTTTTCTAAAACGAGCACAACCAGAAACACTCTACTACCACTCCCTAACAGCTCACCGCTCAGTGGCAAGGGCAGGAGGATGAATGGGACTGCTGCTCTTGCCAGAGGGAGGAAGAGGGAGATGGCAGATGTTTGTATAGGATGAAGCAGCTATTGCAGCTGCTAGCAGGAGCTGGGATATGAGTAGCTGCTCGGCACGAGGTGGTAGACTAGTGATGGTAAGGGCAGGCTCTGGATCCAGCTCATGCTGCTGAGGTTAGAACCTCTTTTATTGAGGAATATATTGAGTTATTTGAATGTGGTCCTCTCTGGTGTCACTTTCTGTCTTCAAAGGGTGCTCTCCTACACCTAAGTAAATGGCCTTTACAAGGGGAAAATATGCAGTTATGGCTCTCAGCTCTGTTCCTTCCCATGTCTTTGGCCTGCTTGTGTCCTGTTTATTGAGTCAGACTGTAATCTTACCAAGGAGTCACCCTGAATGAGAGATGTAATGAAAGTAAACCAGAAGGGGAAAATAGAAGTTGTACTGTATCTCTGTGGATTTTAGCAGCTTTTGAGAATAGACATGCTGAGATAAACAAGGTAAAGTGTTTCTGATTCATTAAAGATAAAAGGATTGTTCTTGTTCTAGTAGCATATCTTATTATTTGCATTAAATGCCAGGCAATATTGTACGATAGTAGCTAATGGAAGCCTAAAATGACAAGATTTTCTCTTAGATCAAGAGATAATCCAACATAAAGCAGTAAAAGTAACCAGGTGTGCCTTTAGCAGGAAGTTTTCTTTATAAAGACTTCTGAGGTGTTGTGGGTTGATGCCAGCCAGCAGACAAGTACCCACATAGCTGCGTGTTCACTCCCTGTCCTCAACAGGACAGGGGAGGAGAATAGAAAGAGCCAAAATACGGAAACTTGTGGGTCAAGTCAACTTTATCTGATATAAAGCTTAATAAGTGAAAGAAAGAGCAAAAAAAGTGATGCAGAAGCAATCACTCACTGCCTCCCACAAGCAGACCAATGCACAGTGAATGCCCGAGCAATGACTACCCTGGAAGCTATCCCCTACCTTCTTTCTCTACTCCATTTTTTATTCCTAAGCACCTGTGTCACACATAAAAGGTAATCAATTCAGACATTTTTGTGTCTAAATGTCCTGTGGGGCTATTAAAAACCTGTATCACATCTAGTCCGATGGAATAAATCAAATTCACCCGCAAAACACAGCCAGCCTAAGCTACTTTAATTACTCACTGAGCATGACAGCAAGCAAGACTTCACCTATTCTCTTTTCAAGTCCTCACCTATTGTGGAGTCTGAGTTTCTTATCCCAGCTTCAAGGGCTGTTTATGCATTTTGGTATTTAGTTAAAATGTATTCAAGTAGAAGCACAGGTCAAGAGAACCTTTGTGAACATTTCTGCCTTTACTACAACAGGCTCAAAGGATGTAAAAAAATATTCCAGAATAAGAGGGAAAACATGAACCATTCACCTTTTGTACTCGTTCTCCTTTAATTTACAGGCAGTCTGTTTGCAGAGTTGCTTCAAATTTCTTCTCTTCAGATGCAACTCAGATTCATGGCCATATTAAATTTTCTCCCAATAATTAATTAAAATGATAAAATTTCAACAAACAGATGACTAAACATAAATCTAAATAATCTCATTAAGTCTATATGCATGCACTAACATCACATTTGATCTTCTTATGTCTGCTGCAGCAATCAAAACCCAAGGTAAATGTTTCAATTGCCAAAGCATTTTGTTTCTATAGCAGCATCCTAAGGTTTACAATTTGCTGTTGTATAGATGAGCAAAACCTGTTGACTACTTTAAAGAAAACAACCCCACTAAGATCTATCAATTAACTTCGTAGCATAGTGTCACGCTCCATAGGATTTTCAAGTGATTTATGATTCATATTATTTTCTTGGAACTGTAATTTTACTAGAAAGCATGGTATTATGTCAAGGATGGTCACATTCAGGAAAAATGTAGGAAGAAACCAGATTCGTTCGTACAGAAAGAGATTCCAGGAGAGCAGCTAAGACTTGCACCAGTATGAGCAAAGACACAGAATGAGAATCCAGGGCACTGTTCTGGTGGGTCTGTCTGTAAGAGAGTGAGGCAGGAGCAGCAGACAGCAGACAAAAAAAGCCTCAGAGAAGCACCAGAAAAAGTGTGGTTTTTTGTGATTTAGAGTAAAAGTAAAGACACAACTTGGGCAGAGTCTTGGTTTGAGAACAGTGTTTTTGGAATGGGATACAGGGAAAATGTTTCCTTAATTTCCTATGGTGTTCAGGGAAATGCATGCCCCTTTGATAATTTAAAGTTTTGAAACCAAGGAATGCTTGATTCCATCACTAAGGACAACAGTCTTAAGGATCCTATACACAGCTAACTATAATAGTCAAAAAGGTAAAAATACTAACAGTAGTCTTATCTGTACTTTGTATTCTTTCACAAAGCTCTAGATGTCTGGGCGGAGGAGGGGAGGTGTTAAATAACAAAGCATGTTTGCTTGTTGCCACCTATCATGGTCTCTGATGGTGACTGCAAGTGTCTCTAGGCACTTCAACTCCAAGCACATCACTGACTCTTCAACACAAATCCTTCTGGGGGTCCTTTTATCTAAACTTAGAACATCCTTCTGTCTCAGTGTAAATAATGGTATTTATTCATTCGTGCTTATCATCTTGGTGCCACGTGCCTCTTTTACTCTCCTACCAAATGGTTGTTCAAGCTCTGATTGTCTCCTGTATTATTACTTTAAACTTCCTCTCTTTTGTTTCCTTGGATTTCAGTTTCCCTTATTCAAGATGTCAAAAGCATTTTAGATGGCAAAAGTAATTTTTCCTTCTGCTGCCCAAGCAAACATCCAGTTCTTCCTTTGATACATGCAAATATATGCAAGTTCCCTGGAACAAGTCCTTCCCCCAAAAATTCAAGCAATTAACTGAGGTAACTAATTGAAAAGAGAAAGCCATGTTGTCTTCACCAGAGCTTAAGAAGATCTTTTTAACTGTTGTTCCTGCTCTGAGGAAAGAACCGAGGTCTGTGGACCAGACCTCAAACAGAAGCAGCTGCTTTCCTCATCTCTAGAATCCACTAGTGAGAGCAACAGCAGCAAGTTTTCCCTTTGACTTTTCATCCCAAGTCTTCCCATTCCCTAACTTTTCTTCCATTTTCTTCTGGTAGGAGAAACATGGTTTTGTCACCATCCATGGAGAAGAAAAATTACAAGGTTTTGCACCCCTTTTTAGCCACAGGCTAGCTCTGACAGAGTACACTGGTAATCCACATTAGGACTAAATACAATCCTGGCCATGCAAGTAGACTTCATTCCATAGAATTGGTTCCAAATCACAGTCAGATTTCCCTGAGAAAAGGTCGTGGTCTGATACTATTAGCAAAACAGGATGTTTCATGTACCAGCATCCTACAGTGTAGTTGCTTGCCTATATCATTTCTTCAGAACTTTACCTGAACGTATTAATAGATTATCTATATAAAGACAGTCTTATTGTTCTCCTGTACAGTAATTCTTCAGAACAGAAATCAAATCATAATTTTGAAAACATTTTCACTTAACTCCTCCTCTTTTTTTGGTCCTAATTTACAAACAGGCTTTGTATATCACAAAGATCTATTTAAGAATAAATCATAAGTTACCTTATCTCTAGGCTGCTGATTCCATTCACTGGGTTTATGTATTTTAATGACAGTCTAAGAATAAGAAACAGATTTTTAATGTTAGAGTAGTCAGCTTTAATTAGATCATTGTGACATTTCAATCGGAGGGAATATTCTAAATCAATAGGCAATTACAAAAGTCATATAGCAAAGGTTTAGTACACAGAAAAATATGACAAAATATTTCTCTAATTTTTTTTTTTTACCCAAGAGCAGGTGCTTCAAAGGAAAACAGAGATCATGTTTCATTAATATACTTCCAGCTGAATTACTACCTAGTAACTGGCAATACTACCTACTACTTCAAGGGAATTTTACAATTAAATGATGATCTCATTAATACCAGTGAAGATTTCTGTGATTGTAAGATTGTGTACTGGGAAACCTGTTTGGACCAAATATAAACAACCAAGGAAGAAAGGAATGTAAGAGGAAAAATTTGTGAAAATGAGTGGCTGCATATGAACAATTTCCGTGGTCTGGACTCAAACATTTTCTTCTAAGAATATCCAATTTAGGTTTTTTTATTATTATTTTAGATGCTTTGGAAGAAGAAATTTAAATTATTGTGAACTTGACATCGCACCATTTCTGATTAACTTTCAGAATCACAGGTATTGTGATACAAAATTTCTTGTGCTACTCACGTTGTGTTGGTGTCTGAGCACTCAGAGGAAGAAATATTCACATCCTGGGTTACAAATGTTGCATTTGTCAAATCTATAAAAACTGAGTCGTTGGCTGTGAGGCTAAAATTACTAGCGTAAAAAAGGATGCATGTATTATTTCCAGTGGTCACATTCAGAGGAGCATATGATGAACTATCGTCTTCCTCAGTGGTCATTAATTGTCGCCTTAATTCCCACACCACATCAGTTCTTCTTGCAATCTGGAATAACAGCACATTAACAACTCATCTCCTTTGCAAGGGATAATATCACTTGAACACAGACCTTCACCATTCTGTACCATGAGCACCCTTCTTTCTTAAATACTCAATCAACCTTAATATTGACTATTGTCTATCTTTAATTAGTATAGAGGCAAATGAAGTGGTGTTAACCCAGGTTCCCACAGTCAGGTGGGAAAACATGTGTCATGGTTTTAGGCTGATCTAGCAACTA